AGTCGAACCGCGCCACGTGCGAATTTTGGGGTGTCCGCCATTTTGGGGGTCCGACCTCGTCTCCTACGTCCCACGGGCGGCGCTCGCGCCTCGTCGGGAACTCCGCCGTCGTCGCGGCGCGTGACGCACGAATCCCGTGGCCCCGTCGAGAAAATTACACGCTTTAAATGGATAATTAAATAGCAACGGAACTGACTGAAAGACTGGCCGGGGATGATTGCCGGGTTCCGGCGCGAGCATGAACCGGGGAATTGGCGTGCCCGAGGGGCACGGAGGAGTTTACCGTGTCCGCCCCGCAATCCGAGAGGGCGCTGCGAACGTTATAATTATCCCCGATTCCCACAAGCACCGAAGGGAACGGTCCCGGTCGCTCGACTGGATATCTCCTTCCCGAGCCCGACTCGATTTCGTCCGATCGAGGATCGCTCGACGCGTCTCCATCGAGATCTCCATTCCTAACCGGGTCACGGATTCAAAGAAACCCTGATTGACCCACCACGGCTTAGTTCATGCCGATCCTAACGCGTCCTGAACGCGTGGTTTTATCAAACCCTCGGTGTAAACAATAGTGCACCAAGATGGCGTCGCGCGCACGTATCGGTCGCACCGTCTTAAGACGATAAGCGATCGTTTACGCAGAAGGTTTAATAAATTCACGCATTTAGTCCGCGGACCAAGCGATCGGCGTAAACAAAGTCCAAACGACAAAGCCGTCGAAAGGGTGAAAATGGATCGAACCCTTCGACGTCCGACATTTAAGGGTCCGAGGTCTCAGGACGAGGTCCTCAGGAGGCGAGTGACCTCGATGGCCGGCTGGGGTCCTATTTCGGTACATAAGATTAGGCCCGGCGCGTAGTCTCGAGTCGTTTCATTAGTGCGCCGTACAATCGGGCTCCCGAGGTCGATAAGCCGGTCCTTCTCCTAATCAAGGGAATTGGGAGCCAGGGGGCGAGGTCATCGCGGCCGGGAGGTGAGATTGAACCTTAGAATTGGACGACTGCCGGCTGTCACGCGCCGCCCCGAAAACAATGGCCAAGAGGTCGGTGAGGTCCGATTCTTGACCATTCTTGACTCTCTCTCTCTTTCTCGCCTCCCAACGTCCGACCGTTCGATTTTCTTCTCCCACGTGTCTATCGTGATTATCACAATTATTATAATTATTGTAATTATTCTAACTATTGTAACTATTACGATCATTCCTTTGGATGGAAGATCGGACGTCCCAGAGGAGAGGTCGGGATGACGCGGCGCGTTCCCGGTCCCGGTTGGCGTTCCTCTCCCGAGGACACCGGCCAAGGCGGCATACCATCTTCGGTCCGGCATATCTCGTATCGGACGATCCCGTGTCGCGTGCATACCTCCATACGTTCCATTGTGTTTCCCCGTAATTACATACAAAAGGACGATCGCGATCGAGGCGAGCCTATTAAGGGGTAAGGGGGGGGGGGATCTAGGGCCGAGAGGGCGCTCTTTTTCCGGACTCGATGCCGATCCAACCCCTTTATCTTGGCGGACATTCCATCGCACCTCGGGGGCGTCTTACCCCCGCCCTCGGGAAGCCATTACCCCCTTGGTCCCCCTGACGTCTGCAGTAACGGCACATTAGAGGATTTTAACGTCGAAATTGAATAACCCCCGGAGGTAACGAAGTTATGCCCGTTTATGGAAATATCCTCCGAAAGGGGAGGACAGACGGAATGAAGGCATTAGGGGTTGAGTGACATCGCTGACGTCGCTTCTCCCCGACGTCGGCGTCTCCGTCCCCCCTCCCGCGGCATCAGCTGATCCGCCTCCGCCCCCGGGGTCGCGATGACGAGGCGCGATCCCTGCCACCCCCCCGAAAACGCCCCGCTCGTTAGCCCGAGTCAGCAGCGGACGTCATCGGCGTGTCATTCGGCGCCGGAGGTCCCCGGTCGCGGTGTCACAGCTACGCGAGAGGGCCACGCCTCCCGACATCGTCCTGACGCAGCACGCGACGGAAACGACGCTCTTGGAGGCCGAGAAGGAGGGCCGATCGCGGATCGATGCGACCCCTCCGACGGTCCGCCGCCGAGTGAGCCGGACCGCCGGGCCAGGGCCCGATGTAGGGGCGAGAGCTCAAATCGCGATCCAATTAGGGGCTCGATCCGCGTCGCGATCCCGGCCCTCAGTTGGCCCCGACCCCTCGCCGGGGGCGGAAGGGACGGCTCTCGGATGTCTGCCGGGTGGAGGAACATCCGCGAGGGGCCGTCTCGAGGCAATCGGGCTAAACTACACGGACTCATTTACACACTTAGCTCTGCTTCCGCCTCGCTCGTTCTCGCGCCCCTCGACCCACCCCCGAGCCCGGAGAGACCCAAATGGTTTTCATATCGTCTTTTTACCGCCCGTTCTCGTTTTACCGCTTGTTTGGCCGGACCGTTCTTGAATGGGTTAATTCCCCGCCGGGGTGGATCCTTCTCGGGTCTTGGGGGATTCTTTGTCGCCAAGCGCCCCCTCCCCCCCAAGAATCTCTGGGGTGGAGTCACGTCGAGAACAAAGGGCGCCTCTCTTACGAGGTTTGCGTTACATCGGCCGCCGATTTACGGCGTGTTTTGCCCCCCTCCCTAGGCTTGGTTGGGGGGTGCCCCCCTTCCGGCGGGTCGGGATGGAAAGGGGCACGAAAGGGGTCCCGAAAGCTCTTGGAGAGGTCCTTCCTGGCGACGAGTTACTCGCGCCCGTCGAGGGCTCGACTTTCTAGCGCCCGCTCGGGGTGGTCCTCCCGGGGGCGGGGGCGCGATCCCCCCTGGAAGAGCATCGAGTTTGCGGGTGGGGTGGGGCGCCCCGCCAGCACTTAAGTCTATTGTTTTCAATGTAATTGGATAGCTCCTACTCTGGCCGCCTCCCTTTCTTCCTCGGCGCCCTCCTTTCCGCCCCCGGGGGCCGTGGGGCCGGTCCCCACGAAGCTTTAACAATTATCTCGATTGTTTTATGCATACACCGGGACAGGGTCGTTCCCCGACCCTCCCGTCGTTACTTTGCGCCGCCATTCGGGGACGCTACCGTGCCCGAGCACCTGCTCTCCTAATTTACGTCGCGACGCCGACCCGGAGATCGGGACGCGTCCCTCCCCCTCCGCTGGACGTCCTCTTTGATAAGGGGATAAGGTTCTTCCGCCTGCACCTGTTACGCCTCCAATTTCGAGGACGAGGTCGCTCCGATATTCGAGGTGGCTGCCGAGGCTCGTGCAACGTGTCGCAGTGCGTTCCGCACTCGCGGTAAAATCCTACGGTAAATTACGCCGGGTCTTGTGCGCGTTATGTCCGCGTAATGGAGTCGCGGCGTCGCCGTTCGAACGCAGCTCTTTACAGTCCCATAAACGGGACGATAATTTACGGAGTTACTTTTACCCTGGCTTTATTCCCGCTCCACATATCGCGCGGCTCTTTTTCCCCGCACCCCCCCGCGCGGCCGGGTGCGGCTCGGGCCTTGCGGCGCTTCCGGCCCCGACTCGCCGCGCGGGATTTCACGATCGGCCCGGAGAGGCTTCCCGCGGAAATTGCGCCCAGACAATGCACCGCGCCGATTTAATTAGGATAAGAATCGCGCGGCCGCTCCCCCGCACCCTGGCCGCGCACAATGTGGCGGTGCGGCGCGGTGCGACCGTGGCTCGCCTCCAAGGAACGTGATATACCGCCCCCTCCCCGCACGGGGCGGGATCCCGGCCGTTTCCAAAAATACCGCGGGGTTCGAAACCGCGCGGAAGGACCGCAGCTCCCCGGGGTAGGTCGCGCGAAAATACCGCGCCGGAAATCGCTACGCGAGACGCCTCGCCGACTCGATTCGGGGGTGGAAAGTGCTCGGAAATTCGGCCCGGATTTAACTCCGGACCGGGCTCCATGCGTTTTCCGCGCCGCGGTCGAAATAGACGGGGAGGACGCTAGGCGTTTCCGCCGCGTATAAGTCGTCGGTCGTAAGTCTCGCCGAACGAGCAGCGACTTAAGGCCCGTTCACATCGCGCGTTTTCGGACGGATATATTTTCGCGTTTATTGTAAACCTCGCTCGTGAAAACGCGCGCCTGCTCGAGAACGCAATCTACTTCTGACGCGCGAACTTAACGCTCGTTTAAAAACGCGATATGCGAGTGGGTGATTTGGGCTCGTTCACATGCCGCGATTTCGAGTTTTGTCCATTTTGTCCATCGCAGCTATATCGCGTTCACGTGTAAACGCGTGCTTTGGTAGAATAAAAAAAGGAAATACGCGTTTGCTTCAGTAGTTTAGCTGTGTCATTAAATTATTATAACGCGCGTTGAAAAACGTGCGTTTTCTATAATGCGCTATGAAAACGCACCTTTAAGGTGCTACGAGGGGGTCATTCAATATGTATCAAATTGTGAAAATATTTATATAACTTTTCTCTAAACTGGGTGCACCGAATAATCTGAAATCTTAACACGGGATTATGGCCGTCCTTATGAAAGTCTTGAAACTCACGAAATTACCCAAGTGAATCTCGTAGCTTGCGCTGTCGTGCGACATACGCAGTACGGTATAGTAGCAACCGATGGACGTAAGAGTCTTTTAATAAAATTGCAAAAATTTGAATACGGCAACTCGAATGGATAATTCTTATTACGACGCTTATGGTAACCGTTCGGTGAGGTACACGCGGAGGCGGCTTTACGCCGCTCTCCGCTCGCCGCGTTTTTTCGCCGCGCCTCTTTCCGCCGGTGCTTTTATTCCCCCTCGTTTTTTTCGCGCCGCGTTCCGTTCGTCCCGGGCAATAAATAATATTTCGCAGGTGCGCTCGGGGGGACGTGGCGCATGTAACGCGTGGAGCGAGCGACGCGGTTCCGCGCACCGACGTGAAATACGGAATTTTATCATTACACGCCATTACGGAGACGCGCGTTGGCGTTCTCTCGGGTTCCCTCGTTTCCGAATTTGCGATTTACAGCGCGGCGCCGCGTCGGCGCCCCCTGCCTCCCGGAAATCCCGGCCGATTTTAATCGACGCACTTTTCTCTCTTCCTGTTGCAGCATCCGTACCCCTCGGAAGACCAGAAAAAACAGTTGGCCCAGGACACGGGGCTGACGATCCTTCAAGTTAACAACTGGTGAGTACACGGTTTGGTACTTTCGCGGCGGCGATAGGCCGGAGAGCCCGGCGGAGCGAGAGAGACGCACTTATCCGCGAGTGCCTCCGGACCCGTACTCTCTCTCCCTCTCTCCCTCTCGGGCCCGAGTTTACGAGCTCTCATCGGATCGTCCATCACGCCGCGCTCTGCCGCCGGATAAACACTCGCTTCTCCCCGTAATTGATCCTATCCGCGTCCACTTTCGATTCTCTCGCGAGATGCCGCTTCGGTCCCGGGAACGGGGACCATGAACAAGGGGTCTCGCGAAACGGGATCACGGAATTCGGGGTCCATGAAACGGGGATTACGAAATAGGGAGCCGCGAAATTTCGGCCCGCGGAACGAGAATTATGAGATAGAGGGTCCGCGAGACGGGGACCAGGAAACAGGGGACCAACGAAACGGGAATACGAAATTCGGACCACATCATTCGGGGCCCAACCGCGCCAAGAAGCGACCCTCGCCCAGTGTCAGGCTCCCATTTCCATTAATATGCATTCGGGAAACGAGTAGTCCCTCCGCCTCGCCGACCATCACTCCGTCATCCTAAGTGCCTTATGCATATGAATTTTAATTATCGCGATAGGGAAAAATATGTAGATGTCGAGCCGCTCGCCCTAGGCTGGCCAGCCTATCTCGCGCCTATCTCGTCTATTGTTCGCCGTTTCCGAAAGTGCAGCGGAGCACTTCGACACCCCCGGTGCAACGTGCAGAGGGGACGGGGGGGGGTGAGTCACCCCGCGAGCGGAAAGACTTCCCGTCTCCGCTCGGCACTCGAGTGATACCGGATTAGCCGCGCGCGGCCCAGGACGCATCGCGACGCGTCGGCGTCGTCGTTTTCGCGGGATTTAATCGCGGCGCGTTTTGACACCCGCATACCGGAGCTCGTATCGCTCCGCGTCGCGTTTCCAGCGCGGAATGTGCCCGGCAGGTCTTGGGGTTAACGACTCCGAAGGAGCGTCGCGACGCCTGGCGTTGGTGGCTACGCTCTCTATCTCTTTATCTTTTTCCCTCTCTCTCTCTCTCGCCCGACGGTGATGGTCGATTAATTATGTCCGCGGACTGGCGCGCGTCAACCGCGCCGACTTTACGCGGTCCTAATCTGGTCGGCGAGTGCCGAGAGGATTATTCGCGCTATTATGTAGCGGCTTTACGATTTCCCGTATCTGGGCCCGGGGACGTCGGGGAGAGACCGAGACCGAGTGGACCTCTCGCAAGATAGGACGGGATTTTATTAGCCGAACTTTAAGGCTGCCGCCGGCGCCGCTCGGTCCGCCGCGACGACGGCGCGCGCTCGTATCTCCGTTACAGGTGCGGCGCGTAAACGCGCCGATCCCGCGCGCCCTCTTTATGACGGCCATGGCGGACGCGGTCCCGTCGTCGTGATCGAGGGGGCCGTTTTCTTAAATGTCGGTCGGACGCCTGCCAGGCTATGAATAAGCCGCGCACTTAGTTGACGTAATTGGCCTCTCCTATGCCTCCCCTGCCGCTTCTGGGTGGGAAGCAAACCTCGACCGCGACGATTTTCGATTTCGAGCATTCTTTCACCGATTTTCAAGGATGTTTATCACGAGCGCGGGAAAACGCCCGCCTTCCCGTTTCCGATCTCTTGCAAGAGGGACTCCACTCGCGACGATTTTCGATCTGAATAATTTTATTCGATATTGGGATCCCTTGCGCAGAAAATCGCCTTTTTTGCCACCATCAACCTCTTGCAGGAGAGCAAGTTTTTCCTCGCGGCGATTTTCATTTTCAATGATTTTCTACGATTTTGGGCGACATCGTTTTCACGGAAAACCGCCTTTCTTGCCACCGTCGATCTCTTGCAGGAGAGGAAATTTCATTGGCGACTATTTTCGCTCGGAATACATTTCCACACTTTCAAGCGACATCGATCGCTCAGAAAATTGCGCTTCTCGCTCCCACCGACCGTAGGACCGACCGACTCGTAGGAAATGAAACTCCAGTCGCGACGAATTTCCCTATCAATAATTTCCAGCGATTTCGAGCGACATCGATCGTCGGCGCGGAAAATCGCGAGTCCTGGCAGGAAAGGGGGTTGAGGCATGACGGGACCAGACGAGACACGGCGCCTCCCTCATAACCCCGGCAGTAATTCCCCCAAATCCGGGCCCGGCGACGAAAGGGTTAAGACGGGGACGGGCGCCTCGGGAGCTTAGCCCGTCGTGTAAACTCGGCGACGGGCGGCGCGACCCCGGCGTCGCCGGGCGTCGCCGGGCGTCCCTGATCCACCGGGCTTCCGGTGTCCCGCCATCTTGATGGATGCTTTCGCGTACCGCACCTGCGCCATTCCGCCCTATCCTTTGTTTATCGCCGAATTTCGGCAAGGCCCTCTGCAGCCATATTTAACCCGGCGTCAAACCGGGGACGATAAGATTTCCTAAATTTCTTTTATTTCCCGCGAATTCCGACGAAGCATCTCGGTCGCGGACGGGCCGCGAATATAAAACGTCGAATGGATCGTTCCGTCGACCCCTCCCGGGTGGCTCGCCTTATAAATAAGCCCGCGTCTCGCGGCGTCGCGACGCCTAGCGCGTCTCCCGGGTTTATTATAGGAGAATCCGCGGACGCGGGGGGGCGGGACGCCCGGTTAATTGAGCACAAATCAAGTTTAAGGAGCGCTCCCGCGTCGGGGCGACGCTCGGCCGAGATTTGCTCGGTCGCCCCCCAACGCGCGAGCGGATTACCATATGACGCACGCGACGCCCCCTCCGCACGCGAGCCCGAGTCACGGGAGGCCCTTTTTCCACCTGCGTGAAGACCCAATTAAAGCGACCGGCAGGATCGCGAAGCCTCGGGAACCTCCGCTCTTCCTTTTCCGCCGGTCGAAGACGCGGATCGCCCTTTTTTAACGCCACTTCCCGGTGACGTCCGCGTCGCGTCCTGGAAGCCAAGGGAGCACTTTAGCGGGTCAGTCGTGTTTCGGAATGCAATCGGCGAGAGTCGGCCGTGCCTGCTTAGGAATGGCGCTGGCTCAGGAATGGCCGCGCTAATTGGAACGGCCCGGACGAGTGGAATAATTCTGGAAAAAAGGAAGGAAGGAGGGGAGGTCCGGTCGCCGGAGCGGGTCGCGTCGCCGCGGAGGCCGCGCCGAGCCTCGGCTCCTTCGTGCTCCCTTCGGCCACAATTTTCCGTCACATATATCAACCCCGACAGTAGTTAGAACCGTTGCCAGCTTGTTACCGCGTAAACCGCCACCCCTCGGCGAGGGATATACGCGGAGGAAGCGGCGCGGACGCGCGGACCCGCGAGGCGACGCTCGACCATCGACCTCGAATTTTCGAGGTAGGGTCAGAATTCGGGGTAGTACCTTGAAGAGTACCTCGAAGACGGAATTCCCCTCTACTCGCGGTATATTCTATCCAAACCAGTTTTTTCGAGATAGGCTCCGAAAAGACACCTCGAAGAGTACCTTGAGGATGTCACTCGAAATCACTCCTCGTTGCTCGTGGTATTTTCAATCCAACCTGGTTTTTTTTTTAAGTGCCCGAATTCGGGTACGTACTTTGAAGAGCATTCCACAGAGTAGCTGGAAGACCTTACTCCCCTGGCGATATTTCCTATCCGACTCCAGTCTTCAGGGGGATCCTCGACTCGGCCATCCCGAAAATTTCCACGAGACGGAGCCCTACTAATATCCCCGCTAATTTAACCGCGCGCACCCCCGGCGGCCCGAACGGCCGCTAATAAACCAGAGGTTATTTATTAGGTTCCCCCGGGGCGGCGTCGGCGCGGCCAGTTGGCAGCCGCGACCGTTTATTTTCGGGCGCGGGAGTCGCGCTTCCTTAACTCCATTTTTCGCGGCTGTCGCTGCGCCTATTTGCACCGGCCGGCACGCGGCGCCGCGTCAGGGTGCCCCGGGGCCGGGGAATCCGCCCGGGCATCTTCCTCCTCCCCCAGGAGTCGGCGATCCGCGGTGCACCCCCCGAGGTAGGGGAGTCGACGCGCGCTCGTTAACATCGTAAGCGCGCCCGTCGCGGCGTAATTTAGACCGCTGTAAAACCGCGGACCGGGACTCCGGGACTGTAACCGAGTCGCTAACGAGACGTCTCGTTTTACAAAATCGTCCCGCGCGCTCGGGGGGGCGCCGGACGGGGCTGTAAATCCCGCTACCGGATGTTAATATCCCCCCTCGCAAATAACGTTACGGGGGTCCCGGAGGGCGCGGACACGGCCGGACTTTTTAAGGCGACGGCCGTTAAAGGCCCGCGAGAGGACCCTACGGATCCGCGCCGGATCGGCCGCGACGAGGGGCGATTAAAACGCACGCTTTATCGGCAAGCGCCCGCGAGCCGGGGTTACGGCCTGATCCGCGGCAGAAGAAGTTACGACTTCTCGTTAATGCAAGGAAGGACGAGCGTCCGGACGGATCGCGGCGATGCGCAAAGGGACGCGGAACGGCGTTAAACCCTGACGTAACCGTGACGTAACTCGAGGAAAGCCTAGAACTATGGTGATATTTCCGATGGTCTAAAGGGATGGGATAGAGTCCTTCGGGGTCTCTTTATACAAATGGAGGGAAGATTGAAGAAAGACGAGAGATTCTCCGGGTCGAATTTTTGAACCCACCTAAAACCCACTGACAAGAATGCTCATGTAAATTTACGTATTCAAACATTGGTTATTTTAATTCCACAATAAATTGCAGTTAAATTACAGAGTCTCCGTGGCATTACTTTCGGCATCCAAGATATATTTAAGAAAATTATAACGTATATTACATTTAATTCGAGTAGACCTGCATTGATACAGTAATCATGGAGCGTTAAGTGTACTTATACATTTACTAATTCGTAATTTTAGCCATTTTACGATTTAGGCGAAATTTAAGTTATGAGATGCGTTAAAATTTGTGTAAATTTCCATCGAATTCTGGGCCTTAAATGAGGTTAGTCTGTATAATGAACCCCACTATAGACCTTAAACCTGCTAGTTATCTCCATTTAATTTGCTCGGAG